AAAAAAAAAAAAAGAATGTTTTTTAAGAAAACTACCATATTTTGAATGGTGCCTGTGGCTCAAAGGGATAGGGCGCTGGCCCCATATGCTGGAGGTAGCAGGTTCAAATCCAGCCCCAGCCAAAAACTACAAAAAAAAAAAAGAAAAGAAAACTACCATATTTTGTCATGTATAATGTGCTCTGTGTATAATGCACACCCATATTTGGGGCCTAGACTTTCAGGAAAATGCCCCTCAAAAAAGTGACTGGCTCTCAACCAAAACAGACACTTCTGAGGAGGGCTAAACATCCCCTGGGAAAGGTGCAGATTGCACCGCTCACCCATGGCTGTCTGCTCTGTGAAGGCTGTGCCTTCCCTCTCTCCCAGGAGCCCTTACTTTCCCACCATGTAGGGCTGCCACCATGAGGTATGGCTGATAGGGCAGGAACTTCTGAGGCCACTTGACCTGCAGGTAGCCATGTGGGTGCCTGGGGCCTGCATGGGGCTCCTGGGCCCCTCCAGGTGGCCGGTCCTTAGCTCTGGCCCTCAGCCCAAACGGTCACAGCCTGCCTCAGCAGCCCTGCTACCACTCCCTCCTGATTGAGGAGCGCGACAGAGGCCACTCTGGTCTGTTCCTACCAGATCCCTCCTGGACTGGAGCCCCAGGCAGTGACCCTGGGAGGCCTGCTGGGCTCCTCACTCCCAAGCCGTGCTATCCATGCATAATATACCACCTTAATTTCATCTGGACAAAAAGGTGCATGTTATACATGGCAAAATGGTATATTCTTCCAAAAAAATGATTCCTCCAGGTAGTATTTGTAGGCCCAAGTAGGTTAACCAAGAACACATCCTCTTGAGATCAAATAAGCCAGTGAGGACTGTTGAGAACCATTTGATGAATCCAAAAGACAAACTAACGGATGTTAAAGTATCACTTCACAGGAAGAGTATCGGCTCACAGAGGAGAAAGTGGGGCTGCTTACTTTCGGGCAATGGTGGTCACACGGATGCGTCTCTGGGTGCTGGAGTGCTGGTACTGTGTGACAAACTGGATGGCGCCTCTGCCTCCTTGGGGTATTGGGGCATTATGCTGCGGGGTGAGAGGCAACCTCATTACTGTCACAGACACAACTCAACACAGCTCATGCACTTCTGAAATGATGGGCAGCAGGGACAGGGAGGTTCCTGGTGCATTTAAACAGTACACCTTGATCTGCACATTTCACTGTATGTAACCTTAACCTCAAAAAAAGCTACATTCAGTACTGGACTCAAGTTAATGACATACATGCTGACATATTTAAGAATGCAATACACAAATGACTGTTATCTGCTCTGAGATGCATCAAAAACAAGATGAATTAATAGATTAACACGTGTATATATAACAAAACAAATGCAGTTCTTTTTTTTTTTTTTTAACAAATTGAAGGTTTGTGGCAACCTTGCCTTAAGCAAGTCTGTTGGTGCCATTTTTCCAACAGTACATGCTCACTTCATGTCTGTATCACACATTAGAATTCTCACAATACTCTAAATGTTTTCATTATTATTATACCTGTTATGGTGATCAGTGATATTACCACTTTGATCTTTTTGGAGTGCATAAGCTGCACCCATATAAGACAATTAATTTAATTGATATTATACGTGTTCTGACTATTCTACCAACTTGTCATTACCTTGTCTTCCTCCCTCTGCTCAGGACTTCCTTATTCCCTTAGACAAAATAATACTGAAATTAGGCCAATTATTACCCTACAATAGCCTCTAAGTGTTCTAGTGAATAGAAGAGTCTCTCAGTTTATATCAAAAAATAAAACTGATAATGCTTACTGAGGAAAACAGGCTAAAAGCGAGGCCTCTGGTGCCTAACAGCCAAGCCGTGAATACAGAAAGGACTGAAGGAAACTAACAGTGCTACTCCAGTGAATACACAGACTTACTGCTCATATGGAAAAGGTTCTAATAGTCTAAGATCAAACGAGACACAACATTCTCTGAAGCTAAAGCCTAACCTAGAGAAAGGCCCTAACTCTCTTTATTCTATGAAGGCTGAATGAGAAAGCTGCAGGAGAGTCTGAAGCTGGCAGAGGCTGCCTCGTGAGCTTTAGTAGAGAAGCCATTTGCATCACCTAAGTACAGGTGAGGCAGTAACTGCTGCTGTAGAAGCTGCAGGGAGTTCCCAGATCTAGTCAAGAGCACGGATGAAGGCGGCTGCATGACACACAGACGCTGAGTGTGATGAAACAGCCTCTGCTGGAAAAGATACCATTTAGGACTTTTCCAGCTAGTGGAATAAGTCAAGGCCTGGCTTTGAAGCTTCAATGGACAAGCTGACTTTCCTGTTAGGGGCCAATGCTCATTATCCATTCTGAACATCCTAGGGCCCTTAACAATTATGCTAAGTGGGCTTGGCACCTGTGGCTCAAGCAGCTAAGGCACCAGCCACATACACCTGAGCTAGTGGATTTGAATCCAGCCAGGGCCCGCCAGAAACAATCACAGCTGCAACCAAAAAATAGCCGGGCATTGTGGCGGGCACCTGTAGTCCCAGCTACTTGGAAGGCTGAG